ATTTAATTTAATTTACTAGCATGCACTGAGAAAAAGAAGTTAAAATTTTTCCAATTTCCGTAGTCTCATAATCTTCGATCACCGCTATATATACATATATRTACATACACATATGTATATCTATGTATGCACAATTTTCCTAAATTTTTAGCATGTATTGTATACAGTTGTACTTTGTTCTGCTTTAAATTGGCAATAGAGAAAGTAATATAGTGAAATTTCTCATAACCGGACGCATATCAAGGTTTTGTCCGCTTATAGGAATTACTTTTGTATGCAATTAACGGTTTTTCAGTAGGACGCAAACGACGCCATATTTTTACCCGCTCTTTAGACAYTTCCCTTCAGTAAGGTTTGCCATTTCATCATGGAAAGGTATACGATCCAACAACGAATCGAAATTATTARAAYTTGCTGAGTTTAAGTTAGAACTTTAAAGAGTTAATAATGAAAATGTTGTGTTCAGAAATTTCTTCCAAATATGAAAGAGGTCCGGCTATGTAGCCTATGCGTAATGGGAAATTTCACTGTATACATATATACATACATACATAACCCTATAAGCACATAGTATTCTTATCAATGTTTTGCTTTCCATTTGTTGGTAACACAATCTCACGAGTACGCGATACTTCAACCAGTCATTTATACATTAAGCTTACTTATCAGCAGGCCTATCGTATAGTGCTGCTTATAAAGTTAAAAATATATTTATAGAAATATATATACATACATACAAGTAAAAGCAAGCATTTTCATAAATTCTAAAATTGTGGGAAATATCAAAAATGAAGGCATGTTGAGATAACAAAGAAAAAAACCACGAATAAAATAAATGAACGAGGAAAATGTAGACAAAATAATATATATACACACAATTTATACGATTATTTGCGGCTATTATATATAACACAATGCTTAATAAATGATATTTATATGTATGTAGATTTGTATGATTGTAGATGTTCTTTTTTAAAATAGCATTTAATTCGAAATACCAAATAAAAAAATTATTTAATTCTGTCAACTGCATAACTGTGATGTATTGTAATTACATATTTATTTTAGCTAAGCATTTAATGACTAATTAAGAATCAAAGAACTGAAATTGTGCAACAAAAAAAAAACTTTAATTACATAAATACAAGTGTATTAATTTTGCATTCATTTACTGTATATTATTCTCTTATATTTGTACCTGCGTTATAATATAAAAACTCTGTAATTACATATATATATATATATATATATAGAGAGTATACATATATATATAGCATAGTATGCCACATTTGTTCCTCTTCTCTTTCTTAATACTTTTATACTTCTTTTGTTTTTTTTTCTCTTTCTAATTTTAGATTGTTTTATTGCATATTTTGGTTGGTTGGTGGTTTGTTTTTGATTGATAAAAAACATTTGTTACAAGAATAACGCCAATGCAAGAATATAATCTGTAACTAGTTCATGTCTACAACCTTTTTGTTTGGGAACTTACACAGAGTTGCAACTACAATACTACTAAACCCACAGGCTCATGTGAGTGAGTGCTGTTTGCTATGCATTTTTGGCGCTGGGAATCATGCGAGCGAACGCAAATCAGTTGGCGTAACAAAATTTTTTTACCAAAATATCTAATAATATTTACATAATACGTTAGAAAATAAAATTAAATTTAAATAACTATTCACTACTACCATTTACTTAATACAACAACAATATACATAAATTATCTTTACTTGGTATCGAATATGACCACATAAACACGATTATTCGCCACACCTATACATATTTGCATTCTTACTATTAACTACCACAATTGTGTATCGTTTTATATGCTATTAATACTTGTATTTTGTACATTCATAACAATTAATTAGTAACTCATTTGTACAACAACAACTGCAATATTGTCTATTCTCTCGGTAGTCAATTCGTTCAACAAATTTTAGATATTACAATAGTATGACATATCTTAATGTGTATGTATGTATATGTATTTCGAAATGAGTATTCACGCGTTAAATTGACATTTGCATAAATGTTTTTATGCACATAATTATATATATGTATGTATGTACATTAGGATGCCCGTTATTTGCCAGGACGGTTTTGTTTTTGTAGATGCCACCTCAAGTTTCAGTTTTTATACTAAAAAATTAAGCCTACGTTAACAAGCTTTTTATAATCAATACTTACCATGCCTCAATTATTTTACTTTTAACTAAAATACAATATAAAGATTCTAAATAGTATATTGAAATTTACAAAACAAAAAAAAAANATATATATATATATATATATATAGTTTTCTCTGCAAACCAAATCGCAAACGAAATGGGTGCTAATAAATGAGAAGCGCACAATAAATGCATTTAACCACTTAAAAAGCATAAACGTGAAATACTGTATTTGTTATTCATTACCGCCATGGCTTTTAGTTAATTTTTGTACTCATATGTATACTATGTATTTGATGCATTTGTGGGTTTTACATACAATATTTATCTGTTTTGTTCATTTTATCGCACTCTTATTTACACAACCCACTTTCTCCGCTCATCCCCCTTGTACACACTTTAGCCGCCTTTGATGGCTTTGACCTTTTCGCTAAAATCGCACCCACTTAATACATTKTTTTGTTAAATAAATATGTATGTACGTATGTAAAATGCTTTTTCAAATAGCCTTAACGCGTTTCCTCTTCCAACTGCCTTTTGTTGTATAGTTTTGGAATATCGGTAAGACATTTAACTCATTGATTGTAATTATATTTACTTACTCGCATTATATTTTCTTACATATGTATATATGTATGTATGTATATTAATAAAACCCATTGTACCAAAGGCTTTACGACTAATCTGGTGATAGATTATAGAATGCACTAGTAAAAAACAAAAAAATACCCAAAATTTGCATGCCTTTGCTTTGATAATTTTACGAAAACGGAGCTTTGTACATATATACTTATATGTATGTACGTATATATATGTATGGTAATCGTTATCCTAAAAGTTGACATGACTCGCGAAATTTTCATTAAACCCTGAACGGAGTATTTTAAGTTTGCGCGAAGTGTAATAGCACCCAGAAGTAGACTCATATCCTCACCTAAAAAGCAAAATAACGTAACATCACTTTTCATACGTTTACAGGCGAAGAAAAAACGATCAAATAAACCACTCATATAGAAACAAAATTTAAGTACTGGTTATAAAATAGTTAGATATTGGTTATATGTTGGTTATACATTGGTTATATGTAATATAATCTAGTGAAAAATACTCTCTCAATTTTTGTGTTGATACGTTGTTTTGCATTTAAGTGACGTTATATAGAATGTATATATAAACGATCAGCAAGAGCTGTGTTGTTTAGCCATGTTCGTCTGTCTGTCTGTAAATATATAAGAACTAGCACCTACCTGTCGAACTGAAATTTCTCACCTGTCCTTTTCTTACCAAGAAGCTGGTTATTTGTCGTAACGACCGATATTGATACACAATAGCATATAACTGCCATATAAACTGGACAATTGATATCAAGTGCTTGTATGCAAAACTCTCTCATTAAAGGAGATATCTGCACGAAATTTCGTATGAGTTATTTTTTAAGGCAATATTGCAATCTACAAAGAAATTATTTAAATCGAGTTACTATAACATATAGCTGCCATATAAACTGAACGATTGATACCAACGGCTTGTATGGAAAACTCTTTCATTAGAGGAGATATCTGCACGATATTTCGTATGAGTTATTTTTTAAAGCAATATCACAATCTCCAAAGAAATTTTTCTGATCGGATCATTTTATCATATAGCTGCTATATAARCTGAAGAGACAGAATCAAGTGCTTGCATGGAAAACTTGTTAATTTGAGGAGATATCTTCATGAAATTTGGCACGCTTAATTGTCYCAGACAATGATRTAATCTGCGAAGAAATTATTCAGATCGGATTACTATAGCACATAGCTGCCATACGAACCGGTCGATCAAAAGCAAATTCTGGTGTGGAAAACTTATACCTGTTAAGGGGATTCCAGCTTCGGACCAACTCGATTAACACCATTAAAAAATCATTTTGGCAAACTTTAACACCAAATTTAGAAAAAAATGTGTTTTTTTTCTTCACTATACCGCTAATTTATAATTATTTAATATTTCGCTGTGTCATTAGCGTAGCTTGGGGCTAAGTGCGTTTGCTGCTCCATCAGATCTATTAAAAAGGAAACTAGGGAACRTTTTGTGCCGTGGCATCGGAAAATTTATTAACATTAAACGATTTCTTAAATTTACAATTCTGTTTTATTTTGATAAATTACTATATACATACCTATATATGTATGTACATATGTACTAAATTTCAACACATTTATTTCGATAGGTTGGCATCTATTAAGAACGGCGTATTTTATTCTTTCTACTCTTTGCAGTTAGTGAATATTGTGGCTAAMTTCAAACCGAAAAACAGTTATATATATCCCTCTATATATATATATATAAATAACAACAAGTCGCAGGCCAACGCCTTAATATTATAACAGTAAAATAAAGATATTTGTCAACGCGAAAAGCGATTTTCATAGAATAGCGATTTGTTGCAGTCATGCTGAATCCCAATCACACGGGCGCAACGCGACGACCTTTCTCGCGGAATGCGCCATCACGCAATCATCGCTGCCGGCTGCTCTTCTCCCCGCACAATCAATCGTCGCATCACTTATTGCAACAGCAGCAGCAGCAGCAGCAGCAGCAGCAGTTACAAACACATGCACACACACATGCGCACGGGCAAGCTCGTAGCGGCGGAAATGGCAACGGCAACGCCGCCAGCAGCAGCAGTACTAGTTCCTCGACCGGACATGGTGGACCGTGGTACAATAATAATAACAAGGATGGCAATATTGACAACTGGAATACACTCGGGTAAGTTTGTCTTGTTCACGTTATCAACAAATACACACAATACAAATATATATATAAGTATTTTWACGAATTAAGCAATAAAATGTATTTATATAAATTACAATAAAAAAAATAACCTTATGTCCAAAAAAGCCTTCAGTCCATTACAATTCCAACTCAAATGCTTTAACCTTACCGCGCATCAATGCYAACCACCGAACCAAACTTTCCTAATGTAGCACCTTCTTCACTGCCACATACACCTCTTGTAATTCCATCACCATCTCCAACTTCATTTCCTTGTCCCCAGTCCCACCTCCTTCCCCTTATGGTATGTAACCAAAATTATCAGATTTTTGTACATGTGAATACAAATCAAATAATCCTGTATACATATGTACCGCCGCCATAAAAATTGCTTTGGGTTAAAGGGTGAATTTTGTAATTAATAAAATCATTTATAATAAAAAAAAATGCGATAAATATTTCTGTGCGTTGTAATGATTATTTTAATTATCAATCACCTCTGTTTTGTAATCTCCTTGAGTTCAGCCTCTTTTCATACTTTATTTACTTTAAATTGGCACTTCTGCAATCATTACTCACTCATACAAACATTAAAAAATATACATTGGAGTATACTTGTATACTATGTATCTTCTGGTATAGGTCGTGTCCATGTAGTATAATTTCAGGAAGACAAAGAAAACATCACATATATTWATTAATACAGTGACAAAAAGTTCCTCTATTAACATAAGCACATTTTGTAAACGGAAAAACGTATAACTCAAAAAACCGTACCGAAGTATGCCCTTCAAATGCTGAAATACGGAAARTCAAAGCGAACCCATAACTGTACAATCTGTGGAAGTTTTGCAATGTATGCTGTCCTGAAAGCACAAGTAGTTCTCTGAATTTTTTTTAAATTCTCCGTTATTCCATATTCCAAATTGAAAATTGTAAAAAATAATACAAAACGTACTAAACGCATACATATTAGGGTGGATCGAAAAAGATCGAAAAAAAAAAGTAGGAGACCATTTTGTAAAGCATGAATTTTACTAAAAATCCACAAAACGAAAATATTTTTTTCAAGGAATTGGAAGCGAGATACAAACCCGTTCATCCCGTTATAATTAACCGGTTACATGGGTTTCTTCGAGTACAAAGCAGTTTTCTTCCAACATGATTTTTTCTCATACAAAAAATTAAATATTTTATTAGAATTTTTTATTGCTCCAGCCGTACCTTAGTAACAAAGAAATTCTGAGATTTTTGGAAAAAAAAATATTTTAAACTCGGCCATCGCGACGCCATTTCSGGTGATCCCTCATAAAAAAGATGCACCCGCATTGGCAGCATAACTCCTTACAGAATCATCTAAAGTGTAAAAATATATGTTTTAGTTAAACCCTTAACTTAGAACTTGGACCAAGAGAAAAAATTAAAATTAGATTTTTGGGAGACATTTTTACAAAAATGGAAAATTTTAGTAAAAATTTCGCGACTTTTTTTTTCAAATAGTTGTAATCGAAAAAAAATCCTTCACCCAAGTTTTTAGGAATTGTATATCGAAGAGTAGTTCTCGAGAAATCTTGCCAACCGACTTCAAAAACATAGTTTCGAGAAAAACGCGCTTAAAGACGGCGCACTTAGCCTAGTTAGCCTAGRGCGCACAAGTTCTCAAAGCAGTATCTCCGAAACTTTTACTCGAATCAACTTGAACATTYAGGACAATATGTTAGATATGTTGTAGAAACCCATGTAATCCCTWAAGAACTCCTACTTGTAGAGCCTTTCTTGAAGGCGTCTATCAACAATTTTTTCAGAGTATCAAGCAAAAAAAAAACAGTAGTTTTTTTGACCCACCTTAATATATAAATTAAACATTTCATGACTTTTTAATACAAATTTTCGCATAAATAATACTAAACACATAACTTATCAATACATATGGAAAGTGTGTATTGGGATATATTACAAGTATAAAAGTATATAGTATATACCAAAGCCGATAATGAGCTGTCGCTTTAAAGCGTTCTAATTTCCTCTATGACAATACCAATTAACCTATTCTTCCCAAACGAATATAACCCGAACTTCCTACAACAACTTCACCCCACAACAGAAACTACTGACTGTAAGGTTGTCTGTGAAACCACCGCTTATAACTCGTACGTTATCACCACATACCAATCCCTGTCTCTTATACACATCTAGATGTGTATAAGAGACAGCTGTGAAACCACCGCTTATAACTCGTACGTTATCACCACATACCAATCCACCAAAAAAAAAAAAATAATAATAATAATAATAAAATTTTGTCGCACCACCCTCAAATATTCGTATACTCATACAAACATAAGTACATATGAATTCTGTGAGAAAATGCATGAAAAGCACATAATCGTGGTAATTATGTATTCGTGAATTTGTTTTTCCTTCAACTCGTATACGTTCGTAGAGCAAATGAAAGCAAATTATTCAAATTTCATACGTATGTAGCTTGTATACAGTAATAAGAAACAGCAACAAATTAAATATTACAACTAAAATGAGATTTAACAACTTRTTACGTAATAATCACGCCAAATCAACATCAAATGTACGAAAATTAATTACAACACCATAATCTATGTAGTTTGTATATTCGATTGAACTGCTTTTTACCAAAAGTCAGCTAAATGTTTAATAAAACAAAATATGTTATAATTCACATAACTCATACATATTATAGACAAATTGAAATTGAAAAAAAAACTCAATATTTGTTTTATCTTCAGTATTTAAATGCTTACATATGGTATATTAATTTGTGGGTTCTTGTCTCGTAATTTCTCGTAATTAGTTCGCTTTTTCCCAGTCGCAAACGTTTTTATTTCAAATTTATTTGTTAACTATTGCTGAAATATATTGTACATTCTTATAAAATTTATCTATACATGTGGTATAAAAACCGTAAATACATAGTGGCAACTTTTACAGCATGATTCTTAGGTACCAGATGCCCGCTTTGTCGGGTGTTTTGTAGTAGATTAGCTCTTAACTCAGTTCCTAATTTATCACTAACTAACTAAGCGACAAATTGTATGATACAATAAATTAGTATACTCGTACTCGTACAAATATTATTTGAATTCATTATCATTTTGTATGCTTTTAGCTTTAAAAGGCGTTCTGTTTTGAAGTTTGCCCTGTGAGGTATTAACTTTTATAAGTATTCGGCAGTCACAAGGCGTTAAAGGCACGCAGACTTCAGTACAGCAAACAAATTTTTTAGGGCATAAGCAATTAAGATCCAATATCAAAAAAACTACAGAACAGTTGTATTTAAGTAAAATATTGCAAATAATATTTGAACCCACAGCGTTCGACTGAATGTGAATTGGGCAACTTCTGAATAATTATTGAGTCTATAACGATATTCGCTTCATGATTCATGTGATGAAAAATTAATCTTTAATGATAACCCTAATGAACATATACGAATCCAGATAATTTAACGGCGAAGTTGAATAGCTCCGTTGCCAAGGTAACAGCTCTGTGTTTGGTGGAATCACAAGGGCGTGCTGTATTAAAGCGTCTAAAACCGGGTACAACTATGAATGGAGAACGCTAGCGACAATCAGTAATCAAACTGACTAAGCGATTGCCGGAAAACACCCGTAGTTTCCAACTGGCACGAAGCAATAATTTTTCCACCAAGAGAACCATCCGCCTCATGTTGCAATACCGGCTAGAAACTATTTTCAAAGCAGGGTATGCTCTTTATAATTATTTTATTTGTTCCGGTCGATGCAGAAAGCCCTCACTGGAATACAGTTCATATCAGAACAAGGAATTAAAAACTAGTTTGATCCATTCTAGTTCTTTTGTTATGAAATCCACAAATTGCCCAAAAATGGAAAATGTTATAGCTTCAGATGGAAAACTGTTTGAATAATGCTATTTTACATATTTTTTCTTAAATAAACGCTCAAATTTTGGAAAAACAAACGGACGAATATGGTTATAGACCTAATAATATATAAATATGTTAATATATATATGGTGATCCATTACGAGGTATCCCACTTTTTTACAGAAAAAACACAGAAACTTCAAATTTAATAGGGAATGTTTATTATCATTCGAGGGAACATTCTTTGGCATTTATTTTTTGAGGATTATTATTGAGGATCATTCATTGAGTCCAGTTTTCGATGACGAGCATTCAAGCATTTCGACTGGTAACTGGTGAATGTTTTACTCAAGGCATGAATCGAAGAGGGATTGTCCGCATATACTTTAGACTACAGGTTACTCTTCGTCCCAAATGCGGTAAGTTTGCTTTTTTATATACCCTTGGAGCTAGAAATTAGCCTCATCGCTGAACAAAATTTGGCTCGAAAACGTCAGATCTTCTTGGAACTTTTCAAGAGCTCATAGAGCGAAGCAATGTCGCTTGGATAGGTCGAGCGGTTTCAGTTCTTGCACAGCTTTCAGTTAAAGGTCTAGACGTAAAATCGTTCCATACGTCAGTCCGAGTTGCTGCGATTGGCGCCGTATCGACTCTAGACGGTGTCTTTGTGTACACCTTCAGCTATGGCTGCATGCTGGACGTAGTCTATTCGGTCGAATATTATCCATTAATGAATGCTGGGTCTCAAGATGGGTGATTGTATTGCGAATAGTACGCTCAGTAGGCCGATTATGTTGACCATAAGTTAAGCGAAGCTTGCAAAACCCATTTTTTACAGATCGTGAATTTTCGTAATAAAGTTGAACGATTTGTAAATGTTGTTCAGGTCTAGGTCTTTCCATGATGAAATGTCAAACAATAATGAATAAAAATAAAATGGCAGTTTGACAAGACCTACGCGAGATCTGTCAAAAAAAGGTTATTGAAAAAAACATCTCTACTTGTATCACCCGTTATAATAGAAATTTGTAGGGCTAAAAACTAGCTAACGCAAAATATTTTTGTGCATCACGCAAACGAAGCGTTTAAGAATTTGAGAATAGGATTTCAAAGG